ATATCACTGTATTTCTGAAGGAAGACTATCTTTAGAAAATTTTCTATGTCATTTTCATTTCATCTTGCATGTTATATGCCTGATAAAGCAGCGTTTGTGAGCTCAGCGCTGCTTTGTGTACAACCGTTGCTGGGGAAACCTCTGTTTCTCCTGCTTTAAAGCACCTCCTGCTGGCACAGAATGAATTTGCATTTTCAGTAAGTCCGTCTGATTTACGCAGCAAACATATTTTGCTTTTCCTATATCCACGGGTGCTGCGGATAATCCGCGGGTCGGGTAATAAATGCATTCTGATTATTTGCAGGTGGATAAAATAAATCGTAAATGAAGCAAATATTAACTGAATTTTCTTTTTATGTATTTTTTCATTAGGCAGACAATTTTTTGTGTGTGTGTGTGTGTATTCGTTCGCCTGATTGGGAAGTTGCAGTGACAGAAACGGTGACATTCCAGATAAAGTTTGAAAGGAGTAAAGCCTGTGTTAATGCTATTGTAACAAAGTTCGTAGTCCGGGAAAAAGGAGGCAGGAACCGGCGAACATTCACACACAACTTTAATCAAATAAACACAAAATAGCGCACACAGAACCAAAACACAAAATAAAATCCAGGCCTGGTCCTCTCTCGTCCAACACTGTCGTCACTCCTCCTTTTATCCTTCCGGAGTTCCTCCGTGGGACTCGAGACCGGTGAGTGGCGCAGGTGTCGCACATTAGCATTTACTCCACAGGCCTCGCTCCGTTCCCACGGCTCTCGGCCCCGCCCCTCTCGTCACATACTCCCATCGCCCGTCTCGCAGGCCGGGGGTACCCACGAGACTGCGCTCTACTCCCCCCCCTCCACCGTTTGGGAGCAGATCACGGGCAGCCACGGCGCACCTGGGGGTAAGGACAGACAGACGAGGCGATCATGGTGGATGGCAGCAGGCTCCGGCCTCAGGCGAATGGCGGCAACTCCTCCGCTCCCTCACGGACGGCAGCCGTCCCTCCACATCCCAGGCAGCGAGTTCGTCCGACCCCCCTGGCAAGTCACTCCCTTCTCGGGAAGGAGGAGGGGAACAGGCGAACACTCAAAGAAACTTTAATAATAAAATAAACACAACATAGCGCGACAGCCCCTCGCGGACGACTGCCGCGCACAAACAGAACCAAAACACCCTGATCAGCTCCGGTTCCCATGGAGCCGTAACGTGCCTCAGACGTGTGCAGTGAGGCGCAGATCATCTCTAACGTCACTGAAACTGCTGTTAAAAATGAACCATCCATTCATCTTATCATCATGCAAAACTAACATGACAAATAGCGAATTTATCAATGTTTCTCGAAACGTTATAGCATTTCCACACCGGTGATAAAATGACGGTGGTGCCAAATAATTTATGTCCCCACGCATTATGTACGTCGTCACGCGTTGACGTCATCAAATTGTGATCAGTTTGTGAAATCGGCCAAGTGTAGTGAGTACCGATCGAAGCATCCCTAGTGAGAACAGTTTAGCAGACTACATATATAAAATGCATATAAATATCATTTGACACTATATATCGCACAATAATGTCTTAATAATATGTATTAATTTTAAACAAGCATTTGAAAGCAGCCGCCTGTCTCTCAGACAGTATGCAGGTACCGAATGCAAAGGGCAAAACATTGCCTGAGGAATTAGTTTTTTGCCATTTTTATGTCAAAGTTGTTTGGCAACAAAGGTTGCCTTCAGTTCATGTTGATACTGACTTCAAGAGGCTAAAGCTGCAGCTGCTGTTTCCTGAGACATAACTGAAATAAACCCTGCACTCAGACTGTCCTAGCATGATTATACCGCCTCGTCCTTATTAGCTTCTCAAGTAAGCTAGTTTAGTTCATTTAATTTAATTTATTTATATATTTATTTTTTGCCTATTAGAAAATCATTCTTTATTGTTTTAAGCATAAATCTATGTCTAAAATACAGAAAGGCAATTTGCCAATGGGAAAAGAAAAATATGAACTTTTTTTTAACTGGAAAACAAGGAAAAAATACTTCAAAGTATTATGGAAAATGATTGATGCAGATTACAAAAACTAAAAAGATTTAATTCAGATAATAAAATAATTAGATTTATTTGAACAAAGCCATGGTGACTAGTAGCTGTTACCATAACTATATTCTATTGTGAATAAAATACAAGTTTATGAGATTTGTAAATTATTCCATTCCTTTTTTACTCACAATTTGTACAGTGTCCCAACTTTTTTGGAATTGGGTTTGTAATTCACACAGTGTTTCTGCAGTTTCCACAAAATCTGTACAATGATAAAAAAAAGCCAATATTATGCTAATTTTATGTGCAAAATGCATGTCAGCGAGCTGTGTGGGCATGAGAGTACCATTACCCAAACCCTTCTCACAGTTTCTAATGATTTCCCACATCTCATGCACAGGCTCTCCGGAAATCCTCCATTCTATGATGAAACAGATGATGATGACTATGAAAACCATGACAAGAACCTCTTCCGGAAGATTCTTGCTGGAGACTATGAGTTTGACTCACCATACTGGGATGAAATTTCAGACTCCGGTACTTTTACTAAAGAATACTGATAAAACCTCACATGTTTAGTAGAGCACAAATTTGTGTTATGTAAACCTTGATTTTAAAGACATGACATGACTATTCAGTTGTGTTTACTAAGTAACATGTCCCATTTTGTCTATCAACAGCTAAAAACTTAGTGTCACGTCTTATGGAGGTGGACCAGGATCAGAGATTGACTGCACAAGAAGCCATCAACCATGAATGGTACTTATAGTATGAATATACCTGACAATTACTCAATATATTGGCATTCATAACTATTGCTTGAAAGTTTGGGATATGAAATACACTAAATTTTGGATTATTTTTCAAATAAGTCTCTTATGCTCACCATACTGAATTTAATTACAGTTAAAAGAGTAATATTGTGTAAAATATTACAATTTAAAATAATAGTATTTTCTATTTTAATATTCAGCAGTCATTGCTCCAGTCTTAAAGGGATAGTTCACCCAAAAAAATTACCCCATGATTTACTCACCCTTAAGCCATCCTAGGTGTATATGACTTCTTTCAGACTAATACAATCAGAGTTATATTAAAAAATGTCTTCCGAGCTTTATAATGGCAGTGAATGGGGGTTGAGATTTTGAAGCCCAAAAAAGTGCACCCATCCATCATAAAAAGTGCTCCACACGGCTCCGGGGGGTTAATAAAGGCCTCCTGAAAAGATTTGATGTGTTTGTGTAAGAAAAATATCGATATTTAACTGTCATACGCACATTCACTAGAGAGTAGCGTTCCAGCGTAGGATGTAGGCATAGCGTAAGCTCCGGTGAGAAAATGTTAGTCTCACGAGAACCAAGTTTTGTTTCAAGCAAAGGAAAACCAGTCTCTGCTTAGCTTATATCGAAATTCTCTGACACTTTTCTTTTCAAATCCTCATTTTGTACCAGTGTTAATTTTGACAGGCATTTTTGATTTAGTCTTAGTCTTTATCTTGAGACGAAAGTGCTTAATAGTCTTAGTCAGATTTTAGTCATTTGAGTCTTTCAAAGTTTTAGTCGACGAAAAGTCGTTGCATTTTTGTCAACTTGTTGTCATTACTTTTAGTCAAACTGCAGTTACCAACATTTTATTTTGGTAGTTATTTGATATGTAGTCATTAAAGGGGTCATATGATGCGATTTAAAGTTTTCCTTTCTCTTTGGAGTGTTACAAGCTCTTGGTGCATAAAGAAGATCTGTAAAGTTGTAAAGACTAAAGTCTCAAATCCAAAGAGATATTCTTTATAAAAGTTAAGTCAACCCCCCCTACCTAAAATGGCTCGTTCTAACACGCCCCCACATATCTACTTCACTATGTGGAAATATTAGCATAATGCTGCCCAAATGTGCACGCAAAGAAAGAAGGCGTGGTTTCAGGAACAGCAGTAGTGTTGATGCAGCCATGTCAGGGAGACGGTGTGTGTTTCAGTGTGAAAGCAAAAGCACTTTATTTGGCCTTCCGGAAGTAGATGCAATTAGGAATCACTGGTTAAGGTTTATTTACAACAGAACAGCACAACCCAGATGTTCAAATTTGTGAAACGCATTTTATGGACGACAGTTTTTTGAACCTAGAACGGTACATATTTGCTATTGACTGTTCAAATGCAGAGTTTTGCGCAGCGCAGAGTAACGCGTCATGTGTGTGTGTGTGAGGGGAACAGGGTCACATCTCAGGAGAGTGAACTGTCTGTCAGAAATCCATCACTGTGTCTGTCACGGCACTCTGTTGCCCTTTCGGGCTTGAACTGATGGTAAAACTAACGACATTATTAACTTTCTTGATATTTACTTTGAAAGCTGAAGCGATTATGGTAGAGGGCGTTACATTTCCAACGAGTGCTTGAGGTGTTCGGCCAATCACAATGCACCGGGTCAGCTGGCCAATCAGAGCAGACTGCGCTTGTCAAAGGAGGGGGCTTTGTTGAAAACTACGTGTTTGAGAGAGGCGGGGCATAGAGGACCTACAATAATGTACAGTATTTGAAAAATGTGTTTTTTGAGCATTAAAGCATGTCAACATATTCTGTTACACCAAATACACAAAATAATGATCTTTAAAATAGCATCATATGACCCCTTTAATTCTTCACTCTTTAGACCAAATCAATTGAGTTTATGAGAAATTTGAATCAAGGATTGAATTTGGAAAAACTTGAATAAATTATGACAATTTTCATTTTTGGGTGAACTATCCCTTTTAACAGTAGTGAACAGGGAGCAACTTGTAAAAATTATAGATGTTCATATATAATATATATAATTTATAATTTTTGAAAAAGCAGAATAAGACAATAAGACAAATACGAAAGAGATACAAATTAAACTTAACAAATATGTGATACAAATAAATGTTATTACTTAACATATTTATTTAACATCTTTTGTTGGTTGACATTAATGACACAGATAGGTACTTAATTAGGAATGATGTCCTTTTAGGACGGAAGGCATGCATGTAATACTGACACACGTTCAGTTTTTACCCACCTGTTTACATTCACTTAATCCATAACCGACTGTATTTACGTGAGATACTCTACACGATAGACATTTGGACTGCTGTGTGTGTATTTGAGCACTGAGAACTGATCGCGCACTGTATATGAGAAATGAAGAAGTGGAGCATGCGTGAGAGAGAGCACTTCTATCAACGCGATTCCGCCTAGCCTGCCTTCACTAACTTTGTTAATCGACAACGAATTGTGACTCTCAGGAAAAATGGGACGTCTGGTCACCTTATCCCTACCCCTTCGGGTTCTGAGGCCATTGTTTCAGATCGCTAGTTCGCATTTTGTTAGCCTATCCATACACAGCAGGTGCCATACTGAGACTAGATATGCAAACGCCCCTTATCCGATTTCAATCCAATGACAGGGACACACATTTTGAAGGACAAGACAGCCTATAGCCTATAGGACGTATTTTGAATGTCCGGTAGTCCTCAAATAACATTATAGTCCCGTCTCGTCTTGTTAACGAAGACGCGGCATAAATTTCGTCTTAGTTTTTATCATCAGATATTAGTTTTAGCTCGTCAACGTCTTGTCTTAGTCACAGAAAAAAAATTCTGTTTTGTACTTCTAATTCGTGACCGGTGTTTTGTTTTGCTCTCTCCTCTGTGTTCGTCACTTATCACCGGAGCTTACGTTAAACCTACATCCCACGTCATCCCCTGGAACGCCACTTGTCTCTTGTGAATGTGCGTATGACAGTTAGCGGAAGATAAAGATTACGTTTTAGCTGGTGGAGCCGTGTGGAGTACTTTATATGATAGATTTATGCACTTTATTTTGCTTCAAAATCTCCACCCCCATTCACTGCCATTATAAAGCTTGGAAGAGCCAGGACATTTTTTAATATAACTCTTGATTGTATTCGTCTGAAAGAAGAAAGTCATATACACCTAGGATGGCTTGAGGGTGAGTAAATCATGGGGTAATTTTCATTTTTTTGTACTTCTAATTCGTGACCGGTGTTTTGTTTTGCTCTCTCCTCTGTGTTCGTCACTTATCACCGGAGCTTACGTTAAACCTACATCCCACGTCATCCCCTGGAACGCCACTTGTCTCTTGTGAACGTGCGTATGACAGTTAGCGGAAGATAAAGATTACGTTTTAGCTGGTGGAGCCGTGTGGAGTACTTTATATGATAGATTTATGCACTTTATTTTGCTTCAAAATCTCCACCCCCATTCCCTGCCATTATAAAGCTTGGAAGAGCCAGGACATTTTTTAATATAACTCTTGATTGTATTCGTCTGAAAGAAGAAAGTCATATACACCTAGGATGGCTTGAGGGTGAGTAAATCATGGGGTAATTTTCATTTTTGGTGAACTATCCCTTTAAGTGTCACATGATCCTTCAGAAATCCTTCTAATATGCTGATTTACTGCTTAAGAAACATTTCATATTATTATTTTATGTTAAAAAGGTGTTGTGCTTAATATTTTTTATAACAATGTTAAAAAGCCTTTACTGTCACTTTTGATCAATTTCATGCATCCTTATTGAACAAAAGTATTAGTTTCTTAAAGAAAATAATATGAGAAAAATGTAACCCCAAACCTTCAAACGGAATTATATCTAAAAACAACTTTCCAGGGTATATAATAAGCTTTCTTGTACTGTTAAAGGATATCTGGAAATGCTGCTTCAGACAAGAACATCAAGGAAAATGTGTGTGCACAAATCGAGAAGAACTTTGCTAAAGCTAAGTGGAAGGTAATTTCTAGATGAAGTTTACTCTTAAAAATGCTTTTGTGTTAGTAAGTTGAGTTTTTCCAAATTAAATCTGAATTATTACCTCCCTGTAGAAAGCCGTACGGGTCACAACTATGATGAAGCGTCTCAGGGCACCAGAGCATCAGACAGCAGCAGCCGTACCAGGTGCACCTAACCCTGCAGCAGGGGCTCAGGAAAACCCTCAAGCTCCATCGGAGGCCTCCACAGCCCCATCGAGTACCGCTGAAAGCAACTCGACAAGCACAGAAGCCCCTGCTGTGGAAGCTCCCAGTGCTGAAGCAATGGCTGCCACTGACCAGCCACCAGTAGAGCCTGTTCTCCATGCCCCAGCTCCCGAACAGCCTGATCCAACATCGCGATGCAACGGAGAGGCTTTAGCCCCCCTGCCGTCAGACACAGGGGAGGAACAGATGGGTTAATATCGCTACCTCTCTCCCACCTGTGTTTAGATCCCGCACACTTGTATATAAGCAGCAAGCATGCTAATACTGATCCCACAACTCATAGCATTAATCTCAACATGCTCTATCATGAGCCGACTTCTAAAACATTTCCCAGCAAGCATCTGTTTTCTATTGAATCACAAGCTATGTGACATGTATCGAAGGCTCTGGCTACTTTAACTTTGCGTAAAAGAAGAAAAAAGCTGTTTTCTGCTTACATTAAGCCAAGATTGAAAACTTCAGCACTGATCTGCATACATGTTTTAGGATAGATTATCAAAGCAGGCCTCATTTTATAAAGTTACTTTTTTATTTTTTTGCATTGCAGTTAGTTAACGTCTGTCTTGAGCAGGTAGTCAGAGGAGCACAGATACACAGCTTCATGTGCAATGTAAAGTTTCTGTAAATAGCTTCCTAACCTCTAGATTAGACGTAGCCAAGAACAGCATGCTATTTCAAATCTGCTGTTTATGACACTCATGTCCAGGTAACTGACACATTCAGCTTCAGCTTTATGTGGATGTTTCATGTCTTGATCAAACACTCATGAAATGTTGCCATCAATTTATCTTGTCATGGCATTTTAATGGTTGAGACATGTGGCCCAATAAATGGAGCAGATTAGGTAAACTTGAGAAATACCTCAAATCTGCTTGGTAGCTAGCCACATGAACAGTGGAAAAACTCATTTGTTCTTATAATGTATTATATACTCTTTTCCATACATTGTACATGTTTTGAGTAATATACCTGTCCATTTTAAAAGTACACAGCCATGCACAGTGAAATGTGTTTTCAATAGGATTTCATCTGAAGCATAGATGTACATAAGTTACAGTGGTCATACTTTGAGACTCTTTCATTGGGTTGAATATTTACGCAGTCATTATATTTTTTTCATTGTACCTCCCTCTACTAATCTATAATACATTTGAATATATTCTGAGATATTTATTAGACTTAAACATAAAATTATCAAAATATAAATTATAGATTTTTTTTAGATGAATCCAGATCTTTTTTGAATTGCAAATATTTAACAGGTATCAGATATTTACTTATTCCTGTTAAGTCACTTTTATTTATATAGCTTATACAAAACAGATTATTTCAAATTATTATATCACTTATCCATTTGCCCCCCTATAAAAATGCTCAAAATTCTCCTTTAAGAAAGGCACATACTGTAAATTCAAATTACATTAACAAAAGTCTCATTTAGTAAACCATAAGTACTGCAGGAAATAATGTGTATTTTTGCACTTTTGGTTTCATCATTGTGAAGTCAATGGCTTCTTGAATGGATCTTGGTTAAATGCCTGAAATAAGATCTAAGATTTTAAGTTAAGACATCATCAGGCCGTACTAACGTACTAGTCTGCTTTTACAACCTTGTTGTGTTTATACTCACATTCTCGCAAACTATTCTAACTCAAACTTTTCCAACTCATAGATGTTAAAGATCGAGACTTTTAGATTGAAAAAAAAAAA